TACATTTACTCGCACTAGTGTCGTCAGTGGATTTAGGACCATAGAAGGAGCTGATGATATTGTTATCTGGACTTGATAAAATATCGCAATACGTTAACTGAAAGCACTTGCTATATGTACAATGTCTTAACAGTGTTTATATGATTGCAGCGTTCTGTTTCTTTTTGGTTTTCCCAAAGTTGAATAGATTTTCGTCTCCTGAGGGAGAAAACACTTGGTGACTGTTATTATCTATCTATCTCACTTGCTGGCTGTACTAGTTTTTACTCTGAGCTGTGTGTAAATAGAAACTGCCATTGTAATTGTGCTACGGTGACAATGTTCTGGTGCTCGTCAGTGCCGCTGTTGTTGTTTTCTTTGGTGTAAAAGACCTTTTCTAAGGTGCCTGTGTTCCTATGAGCTCCTGGTTATTGGTCACGGAAAAATAAAGACGATTTTTTTCGGCAGCTGTTTACTACACGATGTCTGTTGGTGTTTATTTATTCGTCTAAATATAACATGCCGTAAATGCTTATTTCAGAATCTGGGCTTGATTATAATAGGTTGCAGACTGAATTGTTAGAGCTAATTAGCAGCCTTGGGTCATACTGTGCTTAGTAACAGAAAGAAATGCACAAAAAGCCTTCAAGTTTTTGAGTAGGCCTATTTGCAGTCCCCATGGTAGACTTTTTTTTTCCTCAAGGTCAAAGACTAATTAAAATAACCTTTGGGATATTATGAAATGTAACCATGGACTAAAACAGTATTTCGTTTTGACATTTGTTAATGTACCTTGATAAAATAAACCATGGTTTTACTACAAAAGACAAGACTTTTCTCAGCTTACAATTTTTGGTTTCTAGAACATTCTTGTTGGTTAGCAAATAAAACAAACAGACTCAAAAGGAAACCAGTTTGCTGGATTGTGGTTTAACCATGGTTGCCACATATAAACAATAGTTTTACTCTGATAAAACTGTAGTAACCATATTATCTGTCGATTTGTATAGACCATTTTGATGTGGTCATGTCATTGACCCATTAACATTTCCTGCTTGTTATCAAACTATTTCATAACTGTAACAACAGGCAATTCTATCATAACTTCATGTTAAAACAGCCATCATAATATTATTTACCAATATGTGAACCTTTTTGGATTCTCTCTACAGTGCTACAGAAATAAAAAGTGTAAAACAGGAAATGCATTGACCATTGTTATTGCTTACATCCCTCAAAATGGTCTATAACAAATATGAGTAAAACTACTGTTAATAGGTGAAAGATAAATTAAATAAACGCATGACTATCTGTTGTGTACTACTGTTTTATATACTCGTTAATGTAGTTTTGTACTTACATTTGGTGGCAGTGTTTATTTAGGCCTTTAAATTAACTTGGGTAATTAAAAAATGCTGACTTAAAAAGGTTTAGGTTTAATAATACATTTCCAAATAGCTCTTGTCTTTATGCCTATGACAACTATCTATAACATTTTAACTACCCAAGTATTGAACAGCCATTTGGTGAATGTTTACTAAATAAAACAAACGTGATTTTTATAGCCACAAATGTTTATTCAAAGATAACATTACAACTGGGCTGTGGCGCAGTGGGTAACGCTGTCGCCTAACAGCAAGAACGTCACTGGTTCGAGCCTTGGCTGGGTCAGTTAGCATTTCTGTGCAAGTTTGCATGTTTTCCCAGTGTTTGTGTGGGTTTCCTCCGGGTGCTCCGGTTTACCCCACAAGTCCAAAAACAGGCGGTATAGATGAATTCCTGAATTGGGTAAGCTAAAATTGTCCATAGTGTGTGTGTGAATGAGTGTGTATGGGTGTTTCCCAGTGATGAGTTGCAGCTGGAAGGGCATCCGCTGCATAAAAAAACATGCTGGATAAGTTGGCGGTTCATTCCGCTGTGGCGACCCCGGATTAATAAAGGGACTAAGCCGAAAATAAAATGAATGAATGAACATTACAATTAAATGTCTGATTTACTCACCCTCAAGTGATTCCAAGCCTTAAGATCATTTCTGTCTGGAAAAAGATAATTTGAAGAATGTAAGAAAAAAAAAACTGTAACCATTGACTTCCATAGCAGGAAAAACAAATACTATGGAAGTCAATGGTTACATATTTCCAAAATAACTTATTGTGTTCAACTAAAAAATACACAAACAGGTTTGGGATAAGGCTGAGTAAATAGTATCTATAAATAATTATAACTATACCTTTAAGGGAGTTTTCACCACTAATATTTATGTAAAATAGTACATACAATTCAGCATAATTAAAAAATAATCAAATATCAGCCAAATGATAAATATCTTGCTACAAACCTTTAAACCTTTGTTTTCGACATCAAACCCTTGACATACCAAACTCAACTTGAGAGAAAAGTAAACATTAGGGTGCCATCTAGTGTTCTGTAGCAGAAATACACCTTAAATACATCTCTAAAGAATGGCAGCTAGACAAATACAGTAATGTGATGTGCTTTATTAGGCATTGGACACACAACAGAACAAAAGGTCAGTAAAGCATTTCTAGTTTTTCAGGATGCTAATAATGAATGAACATAACAGCAGATTCAACCACTGCAACTGAAAACCAACTCAAAAGCCCAGAAGAGGCATTTAATCAAAAGATGATGCGAGAAAACATACAACACTTGAGCTACAATGACAAAATATCAAGCAGGCAGAAAAAAAAACATGTTTTGTTTTTGGTCCCACTGGAGATGCACACCCTCCATCTAATAAGCTACAACATAAAACACACAGAAAACATTGTTTTAAACACATTCAATTTTCTTTATATTAGTTTTACTTATTTTATATACCCCTAACTATTCTTTATAAATGTCTCTAATCATATTTCTTGCAACAGCTTTGCAGCAGGCATAAAACATGTTTATCAAAGTCAAAATAAACGCTGAGCATGAAATATTAATACATGAGCACTTGCAGAAGCCCCTGTGCCCTTTTATTATCAGTTTAGCAACCATTACTGTATCATAAATGTTTATCTACAGTTAATAAACTCTAGTATCAATAAAAATATAATTTCATTTAACATACAGCATCGACTATGCATTTAAAGTATTCAAAGACAGCACAACAGCAGAAGTGGATTCATGTGCTACACAGACAATACTAGAATTAGAATTAAACAGTAGTTGCGCTGGATCTAAAGCTAATGATTTGACATGTACACTTGCTTTTTGGCAGCATATAGTTGAAAATGTTTAGTAGACTATATTGTGAATCCCCGTTAAATTATATATCCTGTAATACAAACTAGAGACGTGGCTAAATCTCTTCAAAAAGCATCTGAAATGCTCTTAAAGTGAGATTAAACCTTCCCAGCTTTAGCAACACAAGACACTGGGATCTCAGTAGTGTGGCTGGCCAAATACCACTACAAAAATATGAGTAATATAGTCACAAAGCATGTTGTATGCTCATTTTATGACACAAAACTTTCAAGAATAGTATAGAAAATAATATAATAGTGTAACATCACTACAGTTTGATCTGGTTTTTGTATTAAAGCAATTGATGCTAACAATACATGTATTATACACTGTATAAATATCTGTGAATTAACAGTTTTCCATATTTTTGGATTCAGGTTTTTTTTTTTTCACTGTTAAAAAAAAATACTTGCATACACAGTTTGACGTGGTTATGCATTCACAATGGTATGAACTGTTATAGAGTGGTCAAATATATATATATGTAATTATTATTTTAATTATTAACATTAATATGTAAAATATATATCACAGTAAACTATTTCTCCATATTTAATGATATATATAATGAATATAGTTTTGATATCTGATACAGCAGCATAAGATCACACCGGGTGCCGCTTCTCAAAACTCACCAAAATTGGACAATAGAAGATTGTAATTATTACTAATTTATGCTTTGTAATTGCATTGTGGGAGCTTGATATGTCCTGCAGCAACTTTTGATGTTGCAAAGCTTAAAAAATTGACTTTTATTGACAGTTTTAATAGTTTAATATGATATATTGTCTGTTGGTTTGTCGTATAATAGTACTACGATACAAAAATATGGTAGAAACTGTCAGTACTTTTTGTGTCATTAGACTTAAATCTCTATATTTTATTTGTTGTACAATTTGTTTCAAACCACTAAAACTATAATAGTCACTTTGTTAAACTGCACAGTTCAATTTTCATCATTAAAAGTCAATAGAGTATCCATAATGCAAATCATAACCATAACCATTTACAATGTTTTGCAATACTGTAGTTATTTTATACATTAATGCAATGGACTAATCCTCTTAAGGGTATGTAATAATCTTTTATTTAAAGGAAACATTAATTTTGTTGCTAGACACACAAATTTATTGACGAACCATCGCAGTATGATAAATAAATATAACTTTTTTTATATGAAAGTGAAAGCTCCTCAAAATTCATTTAATTTAAAAACTTTAGTAATAGTTATAGTGAAAAAAAAGTCATATTTTTGTAGCTTCAATGATAAATTAGAAAATGTTAGAAATGTTTTGGGCAATTATTATATATTATAACAATAATATATAAAAATATATTTCATTCATTTAAATTCTCAAATTATGTTCTTTAAATATATATTATTCAAATCAATCAAATAAATAAATAAATTCGTGAATAGCATTTTTCCTCATTCAAATTTTCCCGTTTTTAAACATATTACATTTTTTTTATTAAATAAACAGAGAAAAAAAAACTGAATCATGAAATACGGAACCTGTTAATTAACAGATATTTTTATAGCGTACTTATATTTTAAACTACATACTTTTTTGGCATTTGTATTAAAAATATGAAAATACCTACAGTATATACACACTTACAAAACAAAAATCTGGTTAATTTAATTAGCATTTTTAATTAGTTGGATGTCATACAGAAAATGTACACAGATAGCTCTAATTGAGTTATATATATATATTATATGATGAATTCTGAATACATTCTTAAAAAAATTAACAAACAGACATTTAAAGTCTTTTTATTTTGGCTAATTCAATGGCACTGAAGTTATGGATGAAAACGGAACTAGTAACATGCTCTTACAGTAATGACATTTTGACGTGTCTGTTCCAGTGTAGGACTACCCCGTCCCATCTGGAGATCACTGAGACTCCAGTTATACAGAAGCAAACTCACTGTGACTATGCTGAAGTACCAAAAGAAAAGTGGAAAAAGAGAAGAGTTTGAGGGCTGATTCTCAGTGCGGTTGCTGATCTGGTGAAAACGTGTCGTCTGGTTGTTTAATCATGGGCTCTCCATCAGGTGTGGAGTCTGAAACCTCTTCAATATCGCTTGTCGATGGTTTGGGGCTCATCTTAGTCTGTAAACCAGCAATGAGGCTTGGGGTTTTTAACATGTTTAGATCACACACACAGTGTTGATATTATGCTTGTGGGTTTACCTTTAAGGTTTCCACTTTCTCCTCAAATGACTTGAAGGAGGGTGTGTTCCTGAAAAAAATGATGATGTAAAATTCACTAAACACTTCATGTGTCACACTCACAGGTTGTCAGAATAATGTTTTGCTAAGCTTGATAATGTTTAGTGGCAAAAATCAAATTTTCAACCTAGATGGCAAACGTCAAATGAAAAAAGTATTACACATTGAAAATTTTGTTGATAGAAACACTTATTTATTGAAAAAACTTTGCAGAATGATAAATAAAAATGTTCCATATGTTAAGGATTTTAAAAGTTAACTTAATTTCATTTTAACTTAATTAACTTGTTAAGAGTAATATTTTAGTTTTTTGTTAGTGTATTAGAAATAATTGTTTATTTTTTAGCAATTATTAATTATAACAGTGAAACAATTAATTTAATTGCTTTTAAATTCTATTCATCCGAATTTTTCATTTCACTTGTCATTAATTATCAGATTATGTTCTTTAAAAATTATAGTATTCAATCACATTGAAAAAGATTATTTGTTGGATTTACACATTTTTTTAAGGTGAGTGGTTGCAAACAATTTATATGGGTTGAATCCAAACAAACAGTTTCAGTGCAATCAAATAAATACATATATTTTCCTCATTTAAATTTTGAAGCTTTCAAAAAATGTCTTTTCATGATTTAAATACAAGCGGTAAATGCAGTAATAAGATGACATGATTAAAAACACAGCATCATTAAAAACGGGATTTTGTTTTCTTCTTCACAAACACTAAGGTTGTTAATAGGATAATAGGATTTTAGTTAAAAAATACAACATGGCAAATAGAATAACGTTTCATCAGTTGATCTTAATGTCTTTACTACCACAAACAAACCATAAACAATGCACTACACTATTTATTAATCCCTGTTAGAATGGGTTATTATTAGGCCCACACGGAATCTGCACACGCTGAATTCCGCAGATTTTTAGCCCATCATTGATTCTATTTATTTACATGTGTAAATGTATGTGAATTTATATTAATTCAGTTTTTAAATTAATTTCAGTAATATTATTGGCTAGTATGAAAATATTTATGATTTATTTACAATATAGTTTGTAAGTAATATTTTCTGTCTTTTAGTAGATATATTATATGAGAGACTTGCTTTGTGTACCAAATAAAGAGGATCTAATTGGATTTGCATTGTAAACATTAAATAAAAGTTTAAAAGGTATTACTTTTTACTTCATATATTAAGGTTTTAGTTATGATACTCCCAAATTCAATTCCACATAAATCCGCAGATTTCTAACAAAATTATGCACAGAAATAGCAAAAAAAAAATAACCGCAGACTACGTCTGGCCCTAGTTATTATTCATTATTAGTTCTTGTTAACTCACAGCACATAAACTAATGCTAACAAGCATGACTTTAATTTTAATAGCGCATTAACTATGATTACTGAATGCTGTACGGGTATTTTTCATTCTTATTTCATATTTGCAAACACATGAACTAACACTTGGGGCACGGTGGCTCAGCGGTTAGCACTGTCACCTCACAGCAAGAGTTAGCGTGGGTTTCCTCCGGGGGCTAAGGTTTTCCCCACAGTCTGAAGACATGTGGTAAAGGAGGATTGTATGAGCTAAAATTGGCCAAAGTGAATGAGAGAGTGTATGGGTCTTTCCCAGTACTGGGCTGTAAGGGCGACTGCTGTGTAAAACATATGCTTGAATAGTTGGCGGTTCATACCTCTGTTGTGACCCCTGATAAATAAGGGACTAAGCTGAAGGAAAATGAATGAATGAATAAACTAACAAAGAAACCTTACTGTAAAGTGTGACCAATGAGATCCACATGGGCTCAAACATGGGTTTGGAACACCAAAATCGTTTATATAAAGTAAGTGCATTATCAGACTACTGTCTACGTTTGTCATACATTTATTCAAAAAACATAAACAGAATTAGAACTGAGAAACAAAACTAACATCGTAAATCCAACACAAACACTGTAAAAAAAAAAAAAAAGCTTGGTTCCATACACTTCCTTCATGTCCCAACACAAATCAATAAAGTTAACTTAATCATTTTCACAAATTTAAGTAGATCGAAAATAAAACAATTAAGTTGTCTAATAAAAAAAACTGTGTTGGTTCAACTTAAAATAAATAAGTAGTTTAAACAAGCAGCAAAGGTAATATTTTGAGTAAAACTATTACAAATAATGAAAGCCATTATACACCATCTGACCAATCAGAATGCAGCTTTTTTTTGTGCATCGGTATCTTACCTCATGACCGGCATGCTAGCCGAGTGCTGTATAGAGCGTATACTATCCGTCAGCATTAAAGAAGAGCAGAAAGGTGTTAGCCGAAGCCGTGAGTAACAGACAAATTTACAAGAGGAGAAATAAAGCCATGCACCTATACACATAAAACACCTCAGCCCTTCATGCTGTGTGAAATGGAGGAAAGAGTCTGAGGCTTTACTAACTCGAGGGGTTTAAGAGTTTATTACCAGTATCACTGAAACGGATTCACACCACAGCTGGGGACGCCCAGTTTGGATGAGCATTAGGGTGTGAGAGAATTAGCAAGGAATGAACAGGGTTTAAACATGTCTGCATAGGCGTTCAGCAGAGTGACAGCCAGAACACTGAAAGATTTGTGCGGGATATGAGTAACACACACACTGGAGAGAATGTTGAAAAACATTGAGAGAAGCTGAAGCAAAAAAATCAAATTAACTTTGCATGAGAGTGATAGGAAATTGTCAGATTTTGGGGCTGACTTGAAGGGATAGTTACCTTAAAGCACATTTACTCCCTATTAAATCACCCTCAAGTGGTCATGAATGGTAATGACGGTTATAAAAGCAAAAACATACACTACGGAAGTCAACGGGCACAGGTTTTCAGCTTTCTGAAGAAAGTGAAGGGGGAATAAATGATGACAGAGTTTTTGTTTTTGGGTAAACAAATCCTTTTATAATTGATTCAGTTTCATAATGCTGAGTTCAGACAGCACAATATATCAACCCGATTTAAAATTTCCATGTTTTACCTTTGAGATTAGTTACCTAAATTTAAAATTGTCCACATGGATTACATAAATGTTGAGGTTTTCGTTTGCCAAAAATATCATGTTTGATTTGTCAGGGTTATTCCACCAACACTGATTTCTTAATAGCTTCAAAATATGGCACAGTTACATTATTACAACATTATTATTATTATAAAACATACTATTGTTTTACATTTGGACATTTTACTTTAACAATGTCATCAGTTGCATACAGATGAAAACTAAATAAACTTTATTACCTAATTACATTACAATTACATACCTATAAATCATAAAAAGAAAAATTAGCAAAGCACTACATCTCAATAAATAAATATATATATATATAAATATATATATATATATATATATATATATATATATATATATTTTTTTTTTTTTTTTAACTCAAATGCCCAATTACAGACTTAAAGTCCTTAAAATATGTTTTAATGATTGAATGTTATGCTTGATTAATTTCTGGATCTGAAAAGTTGAATACTCCAGGGGCCTGTTTCAGAAAGGAGGTTAACTGAAAACTCAGAGTATTTTAACCCTGAAATGAGAGAAACTCTGGGTTTTCCGTTTCAAAATGGCAGGTTTGTTAAACTCGAGAAAGCAGGGTAAGTCAAGCCTGTTTCTGAAAGAGAGGTAACTTTAACTCAGAGTCAGTTACTGTGGTAACTTACTCTGTGAATCTAACCTGGTCAGAAGCAGGTTTTATTCTCTAAACTCAGAGTTTCTGTCTGTCTCCTCCCCTTTTTTTAAAGATGAAGCGGTATTTCTCGCCTTAGCCTTACGTTTCCACCCACCTATTTTAATGCTCATTTTGGATACGTGCATAAAACGATTGATAGAAACGTCATGATGCACATAACTTTTTAAAATATGTATAAAAAACGTGCATAACTGAGTAGGATAAACTTTTATTCGATAGAAAATGTGCGCATAAACTACAATGGAAAACTTTTACTGAACAAATTACAGTATGTACATTAAAAAAAAGATCATGATCATATGATAATGAAAATGTGTGTAAATGGACAAACAGCAGGCTGAGCACACTGTAACATGTCTTAAATATTGTGTTAGTCATTCTAAAATGCCTTAACTGTTTCAGTATTAGTGTATATTATTAATTACCTCCGAACGTCTGGTGCGTGTCAAGAGTCTCCACGTCTCATGGCTTCAGACGCCCCCACGTGTTCATTGTGTTTCAGCATTGTCTTCTGACATCAAGGCGCAAGTACATTAATTAGGCTAAATAAAGAATTAATTGACGCAGCTTCTTCTACCACAGTAAATTCTGTTTTTACTGTTGATATTTGGTGCCAGTTTAATCAGGAAGTGACCATTTTTTTCTCTTTAACTCGTTGGATGGAATTTTATTCGCATCTTCTATGCAATATTCCAGTTTTGCACATAAATTTATGTAATATATTTGGATGGAAAATAGCTATTGCCTACATTTTTGTCACAGAAGAACTGTACTAGAATGGCTTATCCTTTTTTAATAAATAATTAAATTAAATTCACCTTCGACATGCACTGTAACTAGATTAATGGGATTATTATTCTTACTAAAAATTATTTTTAGTACTGCTTACCTTCTAAATGTTATATTAACCTCTATCACTTGATCAATAAAAAAGGCAGACACAAGTGCACTGTTAAATCATTTAAAACTAATAAATGTATAAAAAAGTTAAGAAAAAAAATATAAACGTCACAAATTACATTACTTATTTTATTATACTTAAATATTTAAATACTTAAAAAGTGAAATTAGGCATTAACTTGAGCAGCTGTTTTCCCGCGCTAACTGTCTCTTCTTCACTGATGGTTGCTTCTTTTCAAATATATACACTCATATTTGCTATAACTTAGCATGAGAACATCAAGTTCAGCTGGAGAAAGAAATGGTGATCTCTTTTATAAGATATTGCCATAGTCACTCGTAATGTCTGCGCTCCATTGATAATGCCTTTTTAAAGTCACGGTGTGCGCGCTTAACTCTGAGTTGGTCTACTCAAAGTTGATTGACCCAACTCAGATCAGCTGTTCTGAAACCGAAAACTCAGAGTTTTTAATCTCTCGGTAAATCAACTCAGAGTTCAAGTTTAAACTCTGAGTTGTTTGAACCTCCTTACTGAAACAGGCCCCTGGTCAACTGTGGATGTAAACAAGCAAATTCATAAACACTATTGATTGCTTCAGTTAATTTGCCTAAAAAAACTGCAAAAAAATTGTGTTTAGATAAACTAGAGGAGATAAACTAAAGTTTTTTATACAGATTCCTAAAATATTTGTGCTTTCTCTTATGGCAGGTGGTCTAATAAATTTATTAAATGGACATTTCACCTCAAACTAAATCTCTGTCATCATTTACTCACCTTTCCCTTGTCGCAAACCTGTTTGTGTTAAATATAAAATAAGTAAATTTAAAACATGTTAGAAACTTACATAGTATTAGTTTTTCCTACTATGCAAGTCAATGGTTACAGGTTTCTAAGGCTACGTTCACACTGCAAGGCTTAGTGCTCAAATCAGATTTTTTGTATAGCTGTTCACATTGTTGTTATAAATGTGGCCATTATCTGATTTGCAGTGTGAACTAAACTGAACCGCATGCGTATAAGTACAGTTACAGACAGCACAAAATGTCTAATTATTCACACAATGTGTTTACTGTGTAAAGAAAACACGCTCAGATTATACTTAAAATGATTATTGCCCTTTACACAGACAATTGTGGTGTTTCATGAACTGTAAAGAGTTTTTCTGCTACTACTAATGTATACTTCACATTTGAAACCTAAAATAAGTCACTTGTGATTGAAAACACTGATCATTTGTGATTTATGACTACCACGGTGTGCATCTTTCTGACCACTGGTGTAGTGAACTTTTCAAGGGTTAATGAGCAGCTGCAGACTGAACTGTGAATGTTGGATTATCTCCGTTTGCAGAGTTATTTCATTTTAGACGATTCATAGACTATGTTTGCAGCACAGAATGATGACGCATGTCGCTCAAAGATTATGTAAAAGTCAGATGAAATCCAACACAACTTTTCACACTGCGGTCGGATTGCAAAACATCAGATCTGTGTCTGATTTAATACTAAATATGAAAGTGGCACGAATCTGAACTAAAAAGATCAGATTCCATGCGGTTTGGGCTGTTCATAATGTCATTACCTGTGTCACATGTGGACAAAAAAATCTGAATCAGGCCACGTTTGGCTGCAGTGTGAACATGGCCTAAGATTTTTTCAAATGATCTTTTGTATTCAACAACAAAAAAAGAAACTCATAAAAGTAAGGAACCACTTAAGGGCGAGTAAATGAGGCGTACATTTTCACTATTGGGTGAACTATCATTTCAAGCACTGCATATTCTATCAAATATGGGCTTATAAAAAAGAAAAGAAAAATTCAAATATTTTCTTTTGTGTTCAGCAGAAGAAAAACCCATTCAAATGATCATTTTAAATTTTGGGTGAACTATTCTTGTAACAAGAACCCTAAAAAGTTGCAAGAATCCATTCAATTGCGCATTATAGAGAGAGTTCACTAAAACAAAAAAAAGTTTAAATTTACTCACTATTTACTCACCCTCAAGTGGTTTTATTTATTCAGTTAAACACAGAAGATAATTTGATAAAAGCTGAAAACCAGTGACCCCTGGCATCCACAGTGGGGAAAAAGATGGAAGTCAATGATTACCCGTTTCCAGATTTTTTCATTTGTGTGCAACAAAAGAAAGAAACTCAAACAGGCTCGCAACAAGTGAAAGGTGACTAAAAGATGAATTTTAGGTGAACTCTCCCTTTAAAGCAAAGGCTCAAGAAGAAAAGGTCTGCATGCACACTATGGGGCTGAAATGGGAGACTAGACTACCTCTAAGTGCATGCCTTGCTATAAAACCATTCATCACACTACTGACAAGTGTAGCAGCCAAAATAACCAGCTTTTGTTTGAAGCCACTGTAAACAGTCTTACCCAAAAGAATTGGAAAATGACTGTAATCTGTAAATGGCAGAGGTGTCATTAGCAAAAACAGTTAACAACGTTGCCAGCGTTGCAGCAAGAGTGTCGTAAGATGGTGAAATTGAGCGCATGTCAGTTGCTTTGACTTGTGTGTGTGTGTGTGTGTGTGTGTGTGTGTGTGTGTGTGTGTGTGTGTGTGTGTCTGTGTCTATGTTTAATGGTTTTGCTCTACCTCAATTCTGACAATTCTACTGTGGGGGTGTAAAATTGAGTCCTTTGCCATTTTGCCCAGTAGTGATATGGTGAAGGCACATGTCTAAGTGGTGATCACAATGGCTACATTCACACAGTCTGTTTTAGGAGTAGTTGAATGCATTTACTAAGGCATGTGACTCCAATTATCTTACAGGAAACAGAGTGCACTGAATACTGTTTACATAATCAAATAAACTATAAAAAAATGCATAAATTAAAAAAAAAAAACAAAGAAAGTTCTATAGATCTTTTAAACGTTCATTCCTGTAAAATATAAAATTTTCATAAAAAGATTGTGAAAGTTTTTTATATGAATCAATCTCTCATATATCAAGGATGCTTGAGCCTCAATATACCATATTCACCAGGTGCATTTATACTCAGATAATCCAGAATTTGGACATGACAGGATTCAACTCCGCAATTCGTCTATGGTGTATCATGGTGCCATAGTGTTTCCCTCTTCTGATTATTAGTGGTAAAATGTCAACCCATAAGCTTAGTTACAATTTGGCTTTTGTCATTTCTCCTGCATTCAACACGAATCTATAATAATGGTCAGTCGTTCTATGTTCAAGTCACCCAGTAAAACTCAACCCTGTCTCCAGAAAATGAGTCACAGCCATTATATGCTGCTGTGTGAATGAAACCAATGTGGTTGGAACAGAAATTATTAGTAGGTATAAGTGACTATTAATTTGTCTAAAGGGTACAATGAACAGCTAAACCAGGAGTGTCCAAACTTGGCCCTGGAGGGCCACTGTTGTGCAGAGTTTAGCCTCAGGACCAAGATTGGACACCAAGACGATAGGACTTCAATTGCAATCTCACCTCACATCCTCCAGCTTTCTGGTGATGGCTGTGCCTACGCTGGAAAATGCTGTTGTCGCCTTTTGACCTACTTGGGACAAGGTCTCTGAGGTCTTCTTATACCTGTCCAGTACAGATGTTTAGAAGAAATGTTACCAACAGTACATAACACTAATACACGAGATAACATAATTTTGACAGCTGGAGCTCTCTAGTAAGATCAAGCATGTTTACAACTGTTCTTTAATGTAATTCAGCCAAATGGCATGTGTAAATGCACAGCAGAAGCAATGACAGATGGAGCCGCTCCTCAGCAGCAGTATGAGAGGCAACGGGCGGCATGCAGATGCCCGAGGCGAGTGAGGGCACGTACGCAGTGGAGGTGGTGACATCATGCCAGCCCTTGCTCAGGTTCTGTTTGAGCTCGTTGAGTGGAGTGATGCCCAGCTTCCGCTTGATCTCCGCCACCTGCTTCTCCTTGGCCGCAAGCACCTGGGAAAGAGTCTGGATTTCTTCTTCCACCTGTAGGGAAGCAGGAAACAACAATTCACCTGATGTGGAAAATCAATTTTCCTGCCATTCCTTCACTCATTCTGGATTCATCCACAAGATATTGATTCAGCTACAAGATACAGCTTACTTTGACATACTGTAACATGAGTTCAGACAGTCATTTATTCATTTTCCTTCAGCTTAGTCTCTTGTTTATTAGGAGTCGCAACAGCGGAAGGAACCGCCAATTATTAACGCAGCAGATGCCTTTCCAGATGCAACCCAGTTCTAGAAAACACCCATACACACACACACTCACAAAAACACAAATTTTTCTATGGCCAATTTCATTACTTCATTGTCCTTTGGCTTAGTCCCTTATTAATCAGGGGTCACCACAGAGAAATGAAGCGCAAACTATTCCAACATATGTTTTATACACAGCGGATGCCCTTCCAGCTGCAACCCAGTACTAGGAAACACCCATACACTCACATTCACACAAACACTCATAAACTACAGCCAATATATTTAATCTAATTCACCTATAGCGCATGTCCTTGGACTGTGGGGGAAAGTGGAGCACACGGCGCAACATGCAAACTGGCCCAGCCGGGACTCAAACCAGCGACCTTATTGCTGTGAGGTGACATTGCTAACCACAAAGCCACCGAGCTGCCTTTACAAAATTTAAATCATTATTGAGGCTGGAATCTGAAATATTACAGCACTGAAAGATGTTGACCTTTTGAAGTTCGCTGTGGAGCTCTGCTTGCTCCTGCTCAGTTAGGACAGTGCAGGGTGAACATGGTGCTGCATCCACTGCTTCTTCACCTACTTCTTGGATGAAGTCTGGCCTTTGGGTCCCTGCAAAACAAATACATAAAATATGACATATTTTTAAGAGCAAAATGACAAAATGAACATTTTACCTGCAAAAAAACAAGTTTGAACCTTATAATATAGGGCTAAAGCAAGGTGAGAGGACTTTATGGACTTTGTCATTCTGAAAATAAATTTGTAACTATGAGCAAAAACAAAAGTCACAACAAGATATGATATCAACTGTAAGGTAAATATGTTGCTATAAACTAGACAAAGGCCGGTATAAGATTCTTATGGTATGATAACCTTGGATTAAAATATCATGGTTTCATGGTATTGTGATTACTGCTCCAAAATAAGTTCTTTTTTAATATACCCCCTTCATTTTCATTGAACACAATATATTTTATTTTAAGAAACATTTTAAATATTTTGAAACAGTATCTTTTGATGTAGAGGTTAAATTTCTGATGGATATAATGTTGCTGTAAAAAAGAAAATAAAACAATTGTTGGAAAGCATGTTTTAAAAATACCTTAGGAGCGGTATAACAGAAAAAAAAAATTGACGGTTTTAAAACCTTGACTTTTCCAAACCGCGATAAACCTTGAAACCGGTTATCATCCTATGCATACTGTAAACCACACTGTGAGACATAAATGCTCAAGTATTAGGAAAAAAGTCACAAAAGTCATACTTTGCGATAAAACTTGACCATTACAGGAAACAGTCACGGTGTCAAATATTTAAAATTATGAGAAAAATTTAATTAGTGAGTTATTTGAATTAAATGTCAAATTAAATGCCAATTATGAGAGAACAAACTCATGTCAAGACACTTCGAATTATGTGAAAACAACAAGAAACCCACAGTGTAAAAAATATGTTGAGAATAATTTTAAAAAACTGTTTAAAAAAATTGACATTTGACACTTGGAGGTGGGGGGGGGGGGGGGGGATAATGGAAATAACCACTCTATTTATACATAAATAAAGCTAATAACACACTATGAGAAGCAGAATTTACTTTTATTTATTTATTTTTATTTATTTAAATATTTACAGTATTTATTAATCTTAGATGAAATTATTTAGTAAAAACTGAGTTGAAATTACTATCTTTTTACATTTGTTCAATAGTTTGTCTATTATAATGATCTTGCTTATGTCAGAAATTTTAAAAAACAAATTTCATTTATCCTTGGTTATATATATATTTCATTGGGTTAGGACTAGTTGGAATCCATATAGAAAATCAACTGTCATTCTAAACGTTTGTACTGTTTGTACTAAGAAAACTGTGGTTCTGATTCAGAGATTGCTAGAGTCAGACATCAGGCCAGGGGGTGAAGGAAGAACATAAAGGAAGATGAGAAGGGCAGAGAGAAGTCGTGTGTCAAAGAGCTTTAAAACTTTATAAGGTGCTTGTCACATGATGGACGCCACTCAAGGGCTTCCCACAAGTCTGGAAGATGTACTTTGATGTCTTCACTGAAATGCCATGCAGTGAAAATATATAAATAATAAAGCTCCCGGATGACACCACTCAGTGCGATAACTAAGAGAAAAGGCAAAAAATTCTGAACTGTCCGTCAAACTGGCAAAAGTATGACAATCATGTACAGCTCTGTACAGTATACTGCACTGCAACATACAGTACTCTTCTTTTAACGGTCCCGTGAAGTACTTTGAAATGTGCATTTTTATTCAATGTTTGACAATCTCAACTGAAATAGAGAAAAAATAGAGAGGGTGGTACAGAGTAGGGCTGCTTGATTATGGGAAAAATCATAATCACGATTATTTTGGTCATAATTGCAATCACGATTATTCAAAACGATTATCAGTTGAAGTCAAAATTATTCACCCTTTTGTGAAATTTTTTTATATATAAATATTTCCCAAATGATGTTTAACAAACAAATTGTTCACAGTATTTCCTATAATATTAGGCTAATTTGTTTTATTTCAGCTAGAATAAAAGCAGGTTTAAATATTTTGAAACCTATTTTAATAGCTCAATATTATGAGCCCCTTTAAGCAATATATATTTTGATTGTCTGCAAAAGAACATTGTATAACTACTTTTATAAAATGACTTGCCTAATTACACTAATTAAGCCTATGAATGTCACTTTAAGCTGAATACTAGTATCTTGAAAAATACCTAGTAAAATATAATGTATTGTCATCATAGCGAAGATAAAAAAAAAATCAGTTATTAGAAATGAGTTATTAAACTGTCAGGTTTAAACTGTGCTTTAAGCATCTTCCCCGTAAGAAAAAATACTTCAGCTACATAAGTCCTTCAGTCAAGAGCAGTGAGGGATTTTCTCCTTTTGTTTTATGATTAATGATAAAAACAGGTGGCAGCAGGGATTTTGTGGGCTGTCACTTTAAGAATAGTGTGGCTCTGATATGGTTTCTCTTTCACATGTCTTTTGATTCTGAACGTGTTTGCTCATTACACAAATGAGGGTTAATATAGTCACTAAACATTGCGCTTTGACACAAATGTGCATGTATTTGACCATTAAAGTGCTTACATTAAGATGGCGTTAGATGTGTGTGCTCTGCCCGTCTCCAAACCTGTCCGAGGCTAAGTGCGGCTTGCACACACAAACACACATGTGCTCTTTCACGCTTTTAAAAATATGAATGATTCTAATGCAGAGCCTACATCAACAAATGATGCGCATCCTCTGCTGCAGACGTTACATTACAGTACATGCTTTGTCATTTTCACGTGAAACTGACCTTTGCAGAGCAAAAAATGTGGCAAAAACTTGAAAGGGGGCAGTATATGATGGATCAATCGTTTATCTCGATTAATAATTGTTCATAATCGTTAGCAGCCAAAATCGAAATTGGACTTTCGATTAATTGCACAACCCTAGGACAGAGTAGCCCCTCCCTTTTTTTAAAAAGTAGCCAATAGCATTTTGTTTTTAATCACAGTTGTCAGTGAGAGTGGCTGAACTTAAACGCATCAAAGGAAAAGCAAATGAGGGTAGGGTCTTAAATGGGGTGGGGCAAGTCAGACACTAGAGAGAATTTGCTTGTTCAAGCTTAGATGAGAAACTGTATAAGATGTATAAGTATAAGGTGATGTGAAAAAACCATTGATCCATTTAGACAGAAGTGAGAAACTGCAAGCTTCACATGTCTTTATTGGTTTTATATCTCCTAAAGGCGAATTATGTCAGTTTTGGACCACACCAACCTATATATGTTCTTAAAACAGACTGAAACTAACATCTACATTTTTGTCATTTTCACTTTTATGTGACTTTTAATGGGGTTAAATCTGGGTTTTAAGTATTAAAAAAACTGATAAACAATTCACTTTAAGTACTAATCCCATGGCTTTGACATGATCAGCCTTATTTGTCTTGGCAAAAAAAATGGACCTTGAAGGACTTAATAATATGCCTAGCTTTAATAAAGGTCTGTTCTGAGGCAGCTGGGAGCTTTAAAAGGTGTTTTGGATAAGAAGCTCATTGCATTTAAGGTTGCATCACATGAGAAGGGTGTGCAAGTCATTTGTAAGCAGTTTGTTTGGTATTTCTGGAAAAACTGGTAGGTTTGCCTCCCACTTTAACTCAACACTACAGCAATTAGGTACAAAAGTCAGGATCTTTTCTAGCTTATCTGACTAATTCTGTAGTGTTTGGACTGTTTTAAAGTCTTTGGCAAGACTTCTGCAACTTTAGGTTCACAGTGAGTAGAACTCGAAAAAAAAAAAACTAGTAAGCTTAAGCAATCTCTACTTTTTCCACATTTATGGTCACATCATGTCCTATTTTTGTTTCTTTTAATGCATCCCAAATTGCATACTGTACTTGCGCACCATTTTATACCATTTTGTAGTATAAATAGTACAATTAGTGCATTAACACTGACATATTTTTTTTATTCTTCTTCATATCTACTTTAAATACCCCGGATGATGAACTCATTTAACCGTTAAAAAGAATGTTGGACATTTCACACACTCATCGTCACAGCTTTGCTCACATAATGGAAGGGGCGGAGCAATGATGTCAGATTACTTTATTTATTTTGGATTGTGCAAGCTAAATTCCCTTACAAGAGTGATTATGCCACCTCCCGATGTTGAATGCATAGATAAAAAAACATTAGTGTTCCATTTGGGACGACACTAAATTCATATGCTATGCTGTTGAGTGTGTAAGTGCATAAAGTACAGAGTGCATAATGTACAGTGTGCCATTTAGGATGCAGTGTACGATCTGTTTTGCATTCAAACTAAGTAGACAGATGAATTTCTTTAGCAGTATGGATTGTTCACAATTCCAAAACGATGTTATTTGAATGAATTACTTCTTATTTTGACTAATCTGTCAATGAATTCAGTACAGATACAATTTGTCTCAATGAAAGGGTCAATTTTCCTAAATTAGACTCAATTTGACTATATTATGAATAAATTACTTTGACAATTTCAAATTTGATACAGCATATTCTGGCTAAACATCAAACACATTGATCATTAAACCGTATCTGATGATTGCAGTACTAGGCTATGAGTTACACACTGTAGTGAGCTGTCTGTCATTCAGAATAGGAAATAAATATTGACGGTGTCATCCAGTGCAACGGTCGATTTGAAACAGTTGAGTGGTTTTCAGGAAGCACATGACATCACTTGCAGAAATTATTATTAAAACTTAAAACATTCCAAGAAATGATGTACTGTAGAGAAATCAAATCACTGTGTAGTGTGGACATAAAAAGAAGGAATTCAACTCTCAACAATACCTAGCATTTCAGATTTGTTAAGACGTGCCTGATTTCATCATCAGTTTAACAGTCACATTTCCCATTTACAAATTAGTCGTTCATCGGTCCTCTGCTCCTCTCACGGTTTTCCAGATTCACACTAACAAGATTACGAACGGCTGCCATCTCACGAATCACCATATAAAGGAGAATTTCCAACGCTGATGTGCCATGACGGTTCACAGACTATAGATCAATGAGCTCTCTCTGTCTGTATAATGAGATTGAGGGCCCTGTGT